AATGTGGGACAAAGGATAGACAACAGTTTGAAACTTGGCTTTGTGACAGTTAATGTTGGGTCTGGACTGGTTTGAAGGCTACCGGGAATACTGGTGAAAGATGACTTCTAAGTGTGTCTATGAGCGTTGCCTGACAAGATTGGCATGTGAGTCAGTGTACTTAGAGAGACCAACCCTCCATGTGGGTAGGCATCATCCAATCGGTTGGAAGCATAGAAAGAAAAGAAAAAGTAGGATTCTGTTTCTTCTTTCCCTCCCTCTTTGTCTCTGTCTCTCTCCCTCTCTCTAGACCCTTTACTTCTGGAACTTGTTATGTGTTCACTCCTATGCATTCTGCCTGTTCATCTCCTATGTCTTTACTAGGTCCTTGGCTGTGCTTGTTCCTACTGGTTTCTGGCCCCTGCACCCCTCCAACTAACCAGACTCCAAGTTCTTTAACCTTTGGACTCTGGACTCATACCAGTGGTCTCCTGAGGGACTACTTCAGGCCTGGGAATGGAACTGCATTAACTTTCCTGATTCAAAGTCTTTCAACTGTTTCTTCAGCTGACAGAACAGTCTATTATAGGGTTTCTCCGCTGTGTGATCTTGTGAGTTAATTCTTATAAAAAATCCCTTCTACGCACATACATTTATCCTGCTGGTTCTGTTCCCCACAACCCACCATGCCTTTCCCTTTCTTAGTCTGCTAGTGGGTTTCAGAAGAGCTGAGTGGGTATTCAAGATTCTAGGCTATGGGAAGTCACCAGTTGGAAATACTCCAAGTATCAAAATGAGAAATGGAAATTGACCACCTGGAAAATTATATGAATGAGAAATTAGCTTTTCTTGTATTAAACTTATAAGATTTTGAGGATCATGGTTGTCATAGTTAACCCGCTCTTACCAATTTGTTTTGTTAGAGTTATTTATAGTATTTTATGTATGTCTTTTGTTTTATACAGCACTTAGAATACTGTTTTTACACAGTGGAAGTTAAGTATGTAATTGGTAATTTTAAAATACCTTATGTTCAGAGCTTATAGGTAAAGTTCTAGAATGAGCATTAAATAAGAAGTGGTAGGAGCTGAGAGGAGAATGTTCAGCTTTCTAGGGATGAGGTGCTGAAAGTGGAGTGACCAGGAATTGCTCACAGGACTTAACTTCACAGCATCACCTCCAGTAGCTACTGCTTAGTTTTGCATTATCATGGTCACAAGTCTTATTGAAAGAGAAAGAATGGGGACCAGCAGATGCTTTAATGGTTATGTTGCCAGACTCCCACATAGTCGACTGTGGTTCAAGTCCTGGACCTGGCAATTTAAAACTCATGCCACACACATGTGCCTATGTGCTCAAGATCCCAAGAGGAGAATAAAGGAGAAGGGATTGTGGCATGGCAGTCCTCCAGGGGAGGTAATTTCTAGTTTTCTGTCTCTCCAGCAAGCGTATGCATCCTATAGCAAAAAAACTCTCAAGAAAAAATAAAAAATAGAAACAAAGAGAGAGAGAGAGAGAGAAAGGATGGTCCCATTCAGGAAATTAAGTTTACCCCAAATCTGAAGATTATAACAGAGAGGAATCCACTTTGAAATGTGTCCCTAGACGCATCCCTTTTTTAGAGCCTCAGGTGACCTTTGAGGTCATTCATTGATCGCTGAAGCTCCTGCTTTACGAGAAAGCTGAGAGAGGCGTATTACTTTCTCAAAGTTCCTGATCCAACACTGAAATCTTCTGTTATTGATACCTCTATCCCTCCAGTTTAGAAAAAAGTAAGATACGTTTTTAAAATACCTTCTTAAAACAGTGATTATTTGGGGGCCTCCTCTCCTCTTACCCCTACTCCATACCCAAACCAAATGAAACAAACACAATGGGAAAGGAGGAAGAGTTTTGTTTGTTTTGTCCAACTAGAAATGATAGAATTCTGAAAGATCCATCACTTGATTGTCCCAGGTTAACGTTAAGTGGCTTCTCGTGCAGGCCCTTAGTGAAAAGGATATTTTATGAAAGTATACACAAAAGCATCCAGTCTGAAATCTGCCAGAATCCACAGGTTCCTAGTTCTACCATGTACTTACTCTCTTGCTCCCTTCACTGAACCAACTTGTCCTCTGTCCCAATTGTTTCTTATCGGGACTCCTTTAGAGTTTAACACCTGTGCCCACTTGCCTTCATTCAGTATGCCTAACCTACTGCTCAGGCGTCCTACCTCCCCCATGTAGTCTCTGTGTGCTCACTTTCATGCTGCCTTTGCCCTCATCCTCCCCAACCAGCGTCTGCCACTCACCTCCAACTCAAAGGCAAAGGAAGGAGAACTGATAGCAGGTGCCTTTGTTGGTCTTCAGGACCTTCACGCTCCATAAGGCACATTATTTGATAGCAGTCTTACACACCATAAGCCCAGTGAGGACTGGGCACAGCCTAAGGATGCCAAACTGAACAGACACGCATCCAGCATTCATCAGACCAGTGTTCACGGCATGTCTAGGTCCTCTCCATTCCTCTACCGACAGCCCTTCAAAGGAGGCCTTAGTGTCCTTATCTCACAGATGATGGAAGCCGAGACTTAAATAAGTCAGATTACCTGTTTTAGAATAGCTGGTGAGACTTAGTGCCATGATTAATATCCAGACTGGGGCTCCTTTAAAAATCAGATATTTTCTGTGGTTGTCCTTAGTCTATTTGGCGATCATTTCTGCTGCATCTTCCCCACCTCTCCCCTGCACCTTATCACCCTAAGCTTTTTCTTTCTCCTACTTTCCAGCCACTATCCCAAGATTCTAGGCTATGGAAGTCACCAGGTGGAAAGTCAACAGTGGACAGTCCCCATCCGATATCTGCTATCTTCTCCCTCTCTCTTGAACTCACTGGCCAAGATGGGAATTGGGTTCTTCAATCCACCCAAATCTTTTCTGGAGCACTAATTTTTCACCTTCTTCCAGATTCCTAACATGTGAAGTCTAGTAATATCATTGTTTTAAAATTTTTAATGCTATTGTCCTTTTTTTCTCCCAAACCAAAGGTTATTTTATTATAGTATCTGATTTACTCTTTCTTTTGGACTCTGTGCTCAATAATTTAATAATGCATTAAAAAATGACCCTTCAGATTCCTCAAAATTACTTTTTCTGACTTCTTGCCTGCCCATTATCACCCACCTCATAGCTTTGTCACACATGGGGTTTCATCAACAGTGAAACCACTCCAATATAGAGTAACTCCTATTATCTCTTGATTATATTCTGAATCACATTGCATCCACCAACACCATGTCTTACAACACTGTTATTTAGCCATTTCCTCTTCAAACTTTCTATGCTTCTGAAAGTCAAGTGCCACTTCTTTCTCTACTCCTTCACATGTCATGAAATTGAGGGCTATGTAAATATAAATAAAATAATATTAAACTCAGTGTAGTAGATAATACATCCAAGGGAGACCAGCAGATTGCGTAATGGTTACGTCGCTGAACTCCCACATAGTCAACTGCAGCCTCAGACCCAGACTCGGTCGCTTGAAATTCTCCCCCTGGCGCGTGCCTGTGTGCCCAAGATCCCGATAGGAGAATGGAGAAGGGATTGCTGCGTGACCCATCCCCCGTGGGGGGTGATTTCTCGCTTTCTTTCTGCCTCTGTCTGGAGAGCGCAGGCCCCCTATAGTAAAAACTCTCTCTTAAACAAAGAGAGAGAGAACACATTCAAGGACTTGGGATAAATTCAGCTTTAATGTTAATACTTATTTTGTTATGCCTTAATTAATCTGTTTTATAAAGTGTTAATATTGTATCTTAACACGCAAGGAACTAGGTTTCCATTCTCTGAAGCAATAGCATCTGGGAACCCCTAGGCGGCGCCCCATCTCGCCAAATATAAGTGAAAGACAGCCGCGTGCCTGCGGGATGGGACTCACTCTAGGGGTGTGGCCTCCCGGGAGAACGTTGTCTGTAAGAGCGAAGTTTGGGTTAGAAAGAGGTTAGAAGACCTATTTACATTCAAAGCCTTTGAAGAATCTGCAAGGAACCTCAATCAGCCCCGGACACCCAGAGTTTGCACTGCAAGGACTAAGAGAAGAAAAAGCAAGCACTAGACAGTCTTCCTTTCAGCTGACCCTGCAGAAGCGTTGAAGTTTGCACAACTGCACTGCTAGAAGTGCCCTTGCGGCGGGTCGTATGGAATTAGATTGACTCGAATTCTGGACAAGTCCACTAAAAGTTACCCAGTACCTGGTCCAGTTAACTCATTTTAGGAGCACAGAGCCGGGCAATTAGCCTAAAGAGTCAGCTATTCGTCTAGGAAAGGAGTAATTAAGATCCGAGTGCAGTACTGAAGCAGAGAGGCAGTTACTCTGGCCCCTGCAGGGAGGTTTCCTCTCCGGAGGTCCAGACAGTACTCGTGACCCCCTTATCCTAAGAGTAACCGCAAGTCCCTAGAGTGAAGACACTTAAGTTCATGGAGTCCGTTTTAGTCTCACCCACGATCTTTGTCATCAGTTGACTAAGGGCTATTTGTTTTCCACGTACTTTGTAAGGAAAAAAAGAAATTACATGAGGGGTCAGACATCTGCGGCTCAGGATAGGCCCGCATGCCACATGTCAGGGAAAATGATCTCACAGTCACCACTCTGTGGACGCCCACCGTTTCCCACCCAGAGCTGACAGCGCTCCAGCCGCTCCCGGAGGGCCAGCCGAGCCCGGCCTTAGCTCCGCCCCGCTCGGCGCGGCCTGGGTGGCGCTGCCAGAGGTCCTCCAGCTCCCCGCCGCTGAGGGTGCCGCCGCCCGCGCGTGTGGGTCTGCGTGTGTGCGTGTGCGCGTGTGTGTGTGTTTGTGTGTGTGTGTGTGTGTACGCGCGCGCGGGCCAGTGTGTATGAGATGAATTGGAGTCATACGACTGGGTGTTTCCTTCCGAGTGGTTTTGATCAGCAATCCATTAGGGGGATCATGGAAACTTTTTTTTCTGGCTAAAAGGATGAAAACTGAGTAAGTACATAGAACTTTGAACTTGAAACGGAATGAAACAAACACAAGCAAAGTCCCCGACAGTGAGCATGTCCATTCAAACCGCTTATTCCTTTTTTACGTTCCCGAGCTGTGAAGGCTCACAGGAAAGTGGCAATTTAAAACCGAATGAAGGAGAGCAGTTAAACAGAAAGGCTGAGGGCAGGACTGCTTTAACATCAGAGGCAAAATGAGGAACCGCTAAGGCGACCTGGCCTGCCTCCAGCTGTGCAGCAGGCCCTTCTGGTTTTAACCTATTGGCGTTCTTCAAGGCCGTTTTCAGAGGCCAGATTTATACTTGGGTGTTGTTTTCTCTTTTCCTGTAAAGCCGAGGCAGAGCCGGACTCCTTCGCTGTGAGTTTAAGGGTGTTGGTAAAATAAGTCATTACCGGAAACAACTGTTTGGCAGCCTGGGGTAGACTCAGGTTATTAGTTACAACTATTATTATTTAGATGCCTTTTTTTTTTTTTTAAACCCAGGTCAGCCACTTCCCCCTGTCCTCCATGGAAGGGCTCTTATTAACGTGCTCAGGTTTTGGGCACCGATGATTCTTTGGCATGACCATTCGGAAAGTTCTTAAGCAAGGATGGAACAAACTTGATTGGAGTTGTGGAAAAAGAAGACAGATTTGCATTTTTCATGCTGACACAAAATAGCGGCTATGACTTTTTCTACAACGTGGACAGGGGCCAAGTGAAGCTGGACTGGTCATGGTCTGTCGGCCAGTGTTCCTCTGTCGCCGGCGATTTTGTTCCCGGCCCTTCTTGGTGGGCTTGGTGGTGGCCATCTGTCTCTTCTACCAGACCCTGACACTGCGAGGGACAAGGAAGCCCACCAGCGCTGTCCCTGGGGCTGCTGCCCACACACCCACTGAAACCCATGCAAGCAGATGCAAGAAAGGATTCTCCCAGGACACAGAATGTTTTCTTCTCTCCAGTATTGCAGGACAAATCAGAAAGGTAAGACTCTTATAAGCTTAACGGAGATGATTTCTGTGAGACAGCAAGCTGCCTCTCCGTCATTTCTGTAAAACTAAAATTAACTTCCAGGAGATCTGAAAGGGATCCAAAGTATAAACAGCCCAGAGTGACCTGATGACAGGGAAACACCATTACATAAGCTTCAGCTTCTTATATTTACTTCCAGAAGGTTCTAACTGTTATTTTATCTACTAAAATTTCACTTCTTTTCAGCACGATATGATAGTTTGGAGGAGAAGAAATTATGTGAGTTCTTTCTAATAAATTAGAATTCCAGGAGATCTGAGGATCTGTAGTTCAGAAACATAAAGATTCAAAAAAGTGCTAAAGTCAATATGCCTTTTCCTTCAAGGCAGTCAGTATTGAAAGCTCAGATCATCCAGAGTCAGAGATACTCCAAAATTCCATCTTAGGCTTGGATAGATTCTTAACTGGCAAGCCCATCTCTAAAGCATTCTATTTCTTTCTGAAGCAATGAAAAGATTATAATAGTATAACAGATTTCTTCAAAACAGTTCACACCTGTGTTTTATTGTTTATAGAATTAGGGAAGTAATAATTATTCTAAACCTATGCTACTCACGTTAGCTTCACTAATCTTACTTGACAAACGGTAGAAACAACAACGAAATAAAACACTCACAGAATTTCTATTTTAATATACTACCCTGTTCATGCTTGCCAGTAAAAGGTTGACTTTTATGAATCTAGTGTAAAAAAAAATTAAAAAGAGAAATCTACAAACATAAAAATCATGGTAGCCAAGCCACTGGAGTCGATGCTGCAACAAGTAGTATCATAACAACATAAATTAGAGATCGAATAAGTAGTATCTTAAACCTACAGTGGATTTAGGTTGATCTTATAATCCTGGCTACTGTTGGCAGCGGAATTCCTCTTGGATACCAGCACTGCTGCCTTTATTACCAAATCCTCCAACTCTGCTACCATCTTGTTTTAAGAACTCTCTTAATTCATTTCAGACTCATAACCCTGTGAGAGAGGTATGGTAGGTACGATTGTCACCATTTTATAGATAAGATGACTGATACTCAAAGGTGTTTAGGTAAGCCACATGACTAGCAGTATGACACGGTACATCTGCAGAGGAATCAAGCCACTTGTTCCTACCACAGAACTGATGCTCTAAATAAAAATAAATCCAAAGTCCTCATAAGAAGTTGTAAAACTAATAGGAAGGTATCAAAGTACAAAATAAACTCAATGGAAACAAAGAAAACTTGAAAACTTTTAAGTGGAGTGGCTTCGTTTGCTATCAAGGATGTCAAAGAACATCTTGATCAAGAGCTATCTTATTGTAAAGGACAACAGGTACTTTAACTAGAAACACTGTGAACTGAACTGAAAATGAGAATGAATTTCTAGATGCTACAAAGTAATTGAGGAAGGTTTTTTATATATATATTTATATTAGCATTAACTTTAACTTGCATTCTTTCTTTTCTTAACTATATCAAATTTATGATGGATGTAAATTGTGACATTTAAAGTCATTTCTTGTTAGTTTCAAATATTAATAAGTATCTTTTTTAAATGTTGAAATATAGGGTCATTGGCAAAGTCATGATGCATTTTTGCATAGAAAACTACGTCATGACTTTTCTGAGGATCCAGTCATTTTGCTCTTGAATGTCTAGCATTTTTGCTGAGATGATGGGAAGGTTTTATTCATGAACTTACAGCCTTACTCCCTCCTTGACTTTACATGATTCCTACTTTGTTCGTAATTTAAACATATGTTAACCGTTTTGTGTAGGCTGCCCTAGAATATTTCCATTCCAATGTTGGATCTCCTAACACTTATAAACCATCTGAAACGTACTGCTGTAAAACATTCTTTAGAATTTTCTTTACCAAAAATGTCAAATGGATGATAATTTTGGTTTCTGATGATTCATGGTCTTAAATATTATAATCATGACCAAGATTCTAAGTTCACAATTATAGTTCAGAAGCGTAGTGGATAAATAAACTGCATTTTCAAACATTAGTCATATACCTCCATTTTTAACCTGTGCTGGTCACTGGTTTCAAGCCAATTTTCATTTGAGATAGGAAGGTAGCTAGAAACTATCATGTAGGCATTCGTTAATTCTACTGATATGTTCCAAAAGAATCAAATAATAATCTAGTTTTAAATGATTAAATATTCTTTCAGAGAGCTAAAATGAAGAAAGAAATATCTGTGGGATCAATATATAGATCATTCTTAAAAAATAACTACTTCAAGAAATAAATAATGAGACATTAGGTGGGCTTTTTCTGAAGACTGAAATTAGCTTTTAGGCATTTTATAGAAATGGTATGGTTTCTATCTATAGATTTTGAATTTTTAGATTTTACTTTCATTGGCACAGGAAAATAATTGTCTTATGAAGATTTTTCCTTACTTGAACACATTCATCTTTGCTTGTGTGTGTGTGTGTGTGTGTGTGTGTTTAAGTTATTTATCTGGTTTTGATCTATGGTTCATGGATTCCAGATGTATACAATGTTTATCCATTGGAAATATACAAAATGTTGTATGTATGTGCAGATCTTTGGAGAAAAATCATTGATTGACATCAGATGTGAAGAACTAAATACATCTATGAACCACTAGAAGTACTTAACAACCAGCATGTTGAAATGTTTAACTGCCCCTTCAGAATGTGTAAATTTGGCCAGGATTTATAATCTTAAAATAAAAAAAAATCTCAAACCCCCAAATGAGAATATTCAAAAAAGCATTTTAGTGAATATTATAGTGTCTGTAGAGATAAACATGCAGAAATCAAAGTATACACACAGGGTGTTTCTTGAGTCAGAATTTTCATTCATTGATGATTAAGCAACAAGCATTTTGCAGTCTTTTTGGCTGCAGTTGTTTCTAAGAGACTTTTATACTTATTACCCTAGTATTGGAAGGTTGTAGTAGTAAATATTTGAAGGTGGGTAATTGTGCCCTATACAACTTTACAAATGGGATCTGGTTCAATGTCTAAAGCTGTTTTCAGTACAAATTGAGATCATGGTATAGTATATGCCAACTTTCCACAGTGAGGAAGTACTCTCCCTCTTCTGGCCAAATTTTAATTCTTTTTTCCATTGAGACGTTCCAAAGGGCCTTGCTAAGCAGATGTAGTTTTGTCATTTCTTCTGGGGTTTCTCCCACAATGAATTACTTGAATATTGCCTGATAATCTGAGAGTGTTAAAATGATTTCAACATAATACCTAAGCATAGTTGCATTGTCCTCATGGAAGTAGGTTACTCAGCAGATTTATCTATTTTTATGGAATCTAACACTTGTATGTTTCATAGCACAGGAAACCCATCAAGTTATAAACAGACACAATGGAAGAAAATCTCCTTAGTATATGCTCCTTTAATGGAAACTTTGCTATTTGGAGAATATATTTCTACTCACTATAGCCATGTGTTTCTGATTATCTCCCACTGATGGCTCCACGATGAGAACTACTATTTCTTTGGCTGTTGCTTGACTATTCATTTTCCATGTCATCTTGACACCCACCCCCTTCTTTTTCAGTGACTGTTCTATACTACTTCTGTGCTCCCTACATCCAAACATAGCCCAATGCATATAAGTGAATGTTCTCATTCCAAATCTTCTAATCAATTCCATTTGCATTTCTAAGAGTAAACCTCTAACATTTGCAAATATCTTTAAAATGACTTGTGTAGTCTAGGTTTTGTAGAAACAGAACCTGAGGCAAACACTTACAGGCCCACACTTTATTGGGTAAAGTAATCCCAGGGACACAAAAGTGAGGAAGGAATAGGAGAGGAGGGAGAACAAACAGAAGTGGGTGCATCATTGGGGTCATAGTCTGTGAAGCCATGTTTTACTGCCACATCTTAAAAAAGACATCGAAGGAAGGGGACAGAAGGAAGCAGTTTATCTCCTGATTTCCTCTTCTTCTGCCTTTTACTGGTTGAAGTCCATCCCATGCTACTCAGAGATAGGGTTCCCTGGATTCTCAGGGCTGCCACCAGGGAAGCTAAGGCCATGATGGGTGTGGTCTTGTGAGTGGAGAGGTGAGGTGGTCCACCCTTTTCAATCAGTACTTGAGTAAGAGCTCCCAGATCTGCGTGGCACAGGTGGAGAAAGCAGCATCTTTACCTTTATAAAGACTACAAAAAAACCCAACCATATAGTGTGAGTAAGGCCCACCAGAGGGGTAGATGTAGCGAAGTGATTGAGTACCTAACTGGTGCAATAGTTGTGATAATTTTCCTTTCTGCTAATCCACACAAGACATCTATTAGGGTGTCAGGAAAGTCATGACATATTTTTCTCTTTTTCTATGCAAAAGTGCATTGTGACTTTCTTTGACAATCCAATAAATGACAATTGTGCTCTCACTCCTGAGAAATGACCTCATGTTTTGTTTTTTATTGTTTTGTTTTTCCTTGGCAGAGGTTTTTGCATAACATGAAGCTCACTAGAGAGAGAGAGAGAGAGAGAGAGAGAAAGAGACAGGGACAGTGAGAAGGAAAGTGAGAAATCACCCCCCAGGGCGGATGACCATGCTGCAATCTCTTCTCCTCCATTCTCTTCCTGGTGTCTTGGGCACGCACACACTGATCTTGTTTACTTTAGCCAAAATATTTATTTATTTCACTGGGATCCTCCTCTTTAGCTGAAGAAAAAAAAAAAAAGTCTTGACTTTAGCACTTAATGTTGCCCTTTTTCTTCCCTGTCCCTTTCCTTCATTCATTCTTTCATTTTTTTAAAAATTCACTTAACAAATATTCACTTACAAATTGAGCAATTTGTATGTGCCAGCCGAAGTGACAGAGATACAAAAAGTGAGAAAAGGAGAAATCACCCCCCTCCCCCAGGGGGACGGCCATGCTGCAATCCCTTCTGCATTTTCCTCTTGGGATTTTGGCATGCACGTACATGCACCCAGTGTGAGTTTTAAGCTGCCAGGTCCAGGGCTCAAACTGTT